AGGGCAGCGCCAAGCGGGCCCTGCCGACAACCAGGCCCCCGTGCTGGGCAGTGCCCGCTGCCGGCGACAGGGGGCAGTGCCCAGCGGGCCCGGGGCCAGGGGCGAGCTGAGAAGGCCGCAAACCGTCATCCTTGGGCGGCGAACTGGCAGCCACCAGGGCAATTAGCCGGGGACCCATTGTCCCTCCCCTGCCAGCTCCTAGCATGGCCATGGGCAGCCAGGTGCCGCTCCCTGGGGCAAGGCGCTGCCGCTGGGTGGGTTTGCTAGAATGTTGGGGGCCACAGGAGCTGGGTTCCCCACACCCAGGGGTGTTGGCGATGGGAGAGGCTCCCACAGAGCGATGGCTGGAAGTCCCCAAGGGAGGGACTGGGGGCCAGCGGGGAGCTGGTGGCTACGTGGGGCTGGTCCCCCGCCTTGTTCTCAGCGGCGAAATGGCAGCACAATGATGTTACGGGACCGGGAGGGGATGTGGGGGCTGCGCAAGGGGCAATAAAGGGGGATGTGGGGGCTGGGCGATGGGTCAGGACAGCCTATCTCTGCCCCCAAGGCCTTTAGCCCAGTGCCTCACAGGTATTTCGGTGCCTAACTCCCATTGGCTGTAGTGAGAGAAGAATGCAATTCCCTTGGGAGAGCCTCTGCTTTGAACAGTCCAGCATCTAAAAGGTTACATGCCTCCCCCCCGCAGGCTAAATGGGACCCCCCCCTTCCCTGTTTCCTGTGCTCCTACTGGCTGGAAGTTCCTGGAGAAGGACACAGGTGGAGGCATCATTGCAATGAATGTTATAGCCGGCACCTGCCCTTGAATCTCTCGGGGGGAGGCAGCCAGACAGCCAGGAGCAGGGATGGAGGGTGCTGGAGACGGGGGCTCTTGGGCTCCATGCCCGCCGTGGTATCTTCCTGCCTGAGTGCGTGTGACTGTGGCAAGCCACGCGATCTCCAGTGCGCTGCGGGGGGCGCGGGTGAGGGGGCTGCTTGCCAGAGCCCTGCGGCTTCCCTTCCATAATGGGGGGGGGGAATTTCAGAGCCT